GGACAAATCTCCAGTGTTCTCTAATTTTCATCTCCCTTGTCCTCACCCAGTTCCTCCTGTAGATATCAGAACAGGCTGCAACTCCTTTGCATGTATGTCTTTAAGGTCCATGTATTTGGGCCTGCATGAGGCTGYTTTGGTGCTTGAGGCTTGCTGGTGAATAGATGGGATAAGAATGTTTGGAGGATTAGAAAAGGAAGGACATCAGGGTAAAGAAAGTTAGACTCAAACCCATGGGAGCTCTGGTGCCAAACCTGAATTTCACAGTGAAGTAGGATAGGCATATTTGATAAGGAGAAGAGATGTTCAAAAGAAACACCTAGAGAAAAAAAATACAGGCAGATTAAAAAGTCAAAAAAATGAGTAAAAAGCAGAAAGGAATTGTAATCATATATATGAGCAAGATGTTCTAGTTAAATATGAACTGGTGTAGAATGAGATAAAAGATGCTGCGTGCCAGAAAAGCAGTAAGTGCCCCTTGAAATGCAAATTGCACATACCAAAAAAAAAAAAAAAAAAAGGAAAAAAAAAAAAGAAAATGATACAGCTCTTCTACAGGCATTGAAAAAGTACTTGCTTGTTTCTTTTCCACTCTCACTTTCAGCTGTGGCCTTTGCCACATGAACAAATCACGCACTGACCCCCTCTGAAGCTGCTCGTTGTGATCCACGTAGAATCTCTGTGCCAGAGAAAACTGACTCTTTAGGCCACACATAACCAGTAAGCTAAATACATAACACAGCTGCTTCTGACTGACTATCCAGCTCCTCTAGGGGCAGCTCTAATTGTTTGTGATGGATTATTCATTTTACACAGCTTTACACTTAAGTACTTTAAAGCATATTTGAAAATTCCACTGGAAGCAAATTACCCTGCAGAGTTGCCCTGCACCAGCTGGAGACGAGATTAATTGTTAGGCAGCACCAAACCACAGTATGCAGGAATCATATTACTGTCCTAGCCGTGATTGATGTGGAGAAGCATTAAAGGTCAGGTGCCCTTTGTCCCACTCTCTCTCCCTCTTTTTTTTTTTTTTTTTTTTTTTCTTTTCTCAGTGGAAACAAACTCCAATACATTATCTCATTCTCTGCAGAGAAGTAGAGTTCACTGGCAGCAGAAACGCAGTTTGGCTGGACCATATTCCAGCCAGGCCATGCAAGAAATGATATCAGAGCAGGAAGCCTCTGTTTATGCTAAAGTTACTATGTGAGTAAATGCTGGTCCTCTGAGCTGTTTCTGGGGATTAAGAAGTGAATCCTGACATCTGTACTCCTATTGTTTGTACCTGATTATTTCTATGAATTCCCTAATTTCTTGAATGYATAATAGAACAAAAATATTTGAGCCGTGCATGTGGAAGGACACACTGCCTGGCATACATCTGGATCTGCATTTTTTGTGAGGAGTAACAGTTCCACATGGACAATAGTGCCAGTTTCCCCTCCTACGTGGGGACAGGCAGGACTGGGACAGGCAGCAGRTCACCACTTGGGCAGGTGTCCCCACAACCAGCAGTTCCTGTGTCACCATAAGGATTTCTAGCCCAGCTAACGCTCCTAGGTATTACYGCAATGTTGATCCCTTAACCTGTACGGAATAGTCTAAACCACCCTAAAAATAAAACTACTTGCTCAGTCTCCTGAATCACCTCATTTGGAAACACCATGTTGATTATCTTTCTATGGGCTTTTAGTCTTCACTTTCCATCCTTAACTGTATTCCAGGTATTTAATCTATGAACTTATTCCTGCTATGCTTTCATCTAGATTGCCTCATTTAATTAAGCTTCTACTTCAATTTTCTATTTAATTTATTGCAGTTTTTCTCTCTATTTCCTTGCCTTTTCTAATCTCACTTTGCTGTTTCTTTCAGCTCTATCTCTGTCTCTTATCTTCCCATTTGCTCTGATGTGCTCTGATGGAACAGTTGCCTAATTTCTGTCCACAGGCAGGTCTCTCTGACCCTTCAAATCTCTCTTAAGACTTTAACCAGTCATCTTTCCTTCCACTTATATTTTTCTGTTTTTTCTTTCCTAACTGACATTTGCTTTTTCCACTCTGCTCCCGTGTAACTTTGACTTAAGCTGTCTAGCTGTTTATAGTGTAATGCATAACACGTCCAGAGGACATATTCTATTTGGTAATGCAAGCCATGCTTTATACATTTATACATTATACATACTTTACACACAATAACATATAAAAATGCAAACATAATTATGAACAAGAGGCAGACATCTGGATGTTTACTATTACAAGCTCGATTTAAAGAATACTAGAAAAAGGTCATCTAAGGTCTTTCTTTTTCAAAGAAAATCACAGATTTTGAAAAGAACATATAGGCTCAGTCATATTTGTTTGAAATGGCCCGTGGTTTCCAAAGTTATGGAGGGGAAGGTGTTTCACATCCAGACAGCCAGTGGGATGAACCAGCTGGCACAGTTACCGTCTTCCTTGTCGTAGTAAGTAGGCAGAAATAAATTATTATAAATTATTTAGTATTAATTATTATTAATTATTATTAATTATTATTAATTATTATTAATTATTATTAATTATTATTAATTATTATCAGCAGGAGCTGACCCAGGCCTTTGGGACAGGTTGTGCCTGGGGCTATAAGTTGCCTGGAGGCTCCTTCCAGCGTTGCACTGTGGCTGGGCATCGCCTGTGGAGTGGGTCCTTGAAGGATGCCCCCTTTGCTGGGAAGTAGCATGTCCAGACCTAGAGAGGTGCTGGGCAGCATCACATAGCTTGGAGTGTGCTCCTGAAGCCCTCATCAGCATGCCCAAGGGATGAGTCAAGTGAAAGGGCTTAAATTTTATTTGGGGACACATGAGGAAATGGAAAAAGGTACAGTAGGAGATTGAAGTCCCTGTCCTGGTGATGGTTAAATCTTTTGCAGTATCTGATAGATTCATTGCCTGGAAATGTGACCTTAACTATTTGACCTTATACCACACAGGTTTTTGTATTAAAATCTTTGACAGATTTCTACTGTCTATGATCCTCCACTGCTGCTTGGAGCTGCAGTTGGAAGAGTTTGAACTCAGCTGCAAACTGATCTATTGGGCACTGGATGGCAGTATTTGCACTAGGTTTTTGTACAAATCTCTCCATCAGTTCTGTGGAAAGCTGTGAGCATATCTGGCTGGAGGAGAGAAAGAGCAGTATGCACAGGAAGGAGGAGAAGGACAGTAAATAGGATTTAGTCTTATTTTTGTTTCCTCAGCCCTAAGACCACAGTGATGAAGAAATTTTTTCTATAAATATTTGATTTTCCTGATTTTTTCTGTTGCCTTTCTCTCTCATGTTTTTTTAATTACCTTATCTGCTCAATCTCAGGATATTACCTAAACAATTATTTGAAAACTATCGTAGTGCAGTCAGTGGTGTCAGTCCGGTTTATATTATTAAGGGTTCTGATTGTGACAGCATCAGTCTCTTGTCCTTCTTGCCTTCAAGGGGCCATGAAGCTCCAGCTGTGGCTGAGGCTATTTGCAGCACACTGGTGCAGCACCACATCCCACACAGGTTTGTAGGCGACACTGAACCCCAATGCTGTGGCCCACTACTGCTGACACCTTTGGACGTGTGTATCTGTGGTGTGGTGTTGTGCACCTGACCAAAGTCATCCCCTGTTAATCCCCCACCCAAGCAGTGGGGCAAGATGCTGCTTTTGGTAGTTGGCAGGTGCCTCGTTCAATACAAGGACTGAGGCCAGGAAAAACACATAAAGCATGTTGGCACATGTATCCCAATATATTTATTCACTCCCTTCTACACTCTGAGACTCGTTGGCTGTAGCACATTTTCAGCTCTACCCTATCATCGGATCAGATTTGTGGAAATGCTTATTTTTTGCAAATGTGAACAGCAGATGCAAGCGTTTGTGATACAAATAAAATCTACATTCTATCATGCATGCTGGTACATATGAGGCATTTCATTTCTTCTGGATAGATACTTTCCATCCTTATACAATCAGCTTTTTGTAGTTCATTGGATTTTTTTCAGAATTCTGCTTTCRTCTTTCCTGTTTGCTTTGGAGAAAAACATTTATTTCTTAGTATCACTCAATGGTTTTCATAGCCTTGGGTGTTCATTAAAATCATATTAAAATATGGCTTTCCTGAAGACCATCACAACTCTTTAAACTTCTTAAAAAAAACAAAGAGAATAAAAGAAAATCACTAAAGAAAAGCCCCAGTCTACATCAAATGTTAAGGTATATTCTCAGCTAATGCAAATCAATATGGCTTTAATAGACTCATGATTATTATTGCTAGCTGTGGATCCAATCCATGGAGTAATTAATTTAGGGACAAAGCCTAGTGTTGCAAGGTGCAAAGAGAATTATCACATCTCGTTGAGTCACCTTACCACTTGCTTTCATCTGAAAAACTGAGAAGAGATATTTCTTCTTTTCACTATGGAAAGATTTCACCCTCTGCTTTTTGCAATTGATGTCTTTATCCAGCTGAATTATTCCTCTGTCCCTTTGAAATGCTCCGTAATAAATTAATAATTTATGCTAAGTGAAGCAACACTACTGGGAGTTGAGCTGATCAAAATTCAGAAGTTGTGGGGCTCGCCGAAAACATTTGCTGAAATGACTTTGGCTCCAAGAGATATCAAGATGTGTATGTGTGCGTGCSTGCGTGGGGAGAGAGGAGAACTTGGGCCCCTTTCTCTCTCCCAGAGGAGTAAGTGGCAACAACAGGATTTCAGAAGCCAGCAGTGCTCAGAGGAGCCCAGCTCAGCAACAGAATGGAACCTCCCATCCATGGAAATTTTTAAGAATGTTCAGTTTTGGAAGGCTGAAAGGATTTTAATGTTTTTCAGAAGCGATTGAACAATTACTAAAGGTGTAGCTTTTATTTATTTAATTTTAATTTTGATTTTATTTTTTACTTCCTTTCGGGAAAGCAGATTCCGAGCCTCTTAAGTTAGCTGTGTCTGTCCGAGGGAGGAGGTTGTCTGTCCCCAAACCTGTGACAGATGCTGTGCAGAGGTGCTGCCCTGCTACCTGGCTGGGAAACAGCACCCGTGCAGGACAGCAGCGCTCGCTACCGCTTGTCTGCAAGTCCAGCAAGTTCACTGGTAAGAGCCAGGGGAAACACAGCACGCCGATTATGCTGGAATATGATCATGAAATACTTCAGTGTCTACAGGTTGCCTTTTAAAATATTTTATGCAAATCTATTTCACATAGACCGTCCCAGCCAACTGTGCTCAGCTGGCAGGTCAGATATTGGAGAAACTGGAAGGGCTATATTGTCACAGTGGCCCCTGTTATTTCCCTATGCACCTCTTCAGGATGGTGGGTTATAGCTCCGTGCTGGAGCTGTAATCATAATGGCCATTTTGAGACAAACATTTTAAAGACCCCATTCCACGTCTATTCTCTGATATTTCGTTTAATATTTTCTTGCTCTCCTCCCCAGTGATTCTCCATAGCCAAGTGCCTGTTGCCCTGGGCTTCCTTGGAAATATCAACTGTGTGCTAATAAAGCTCCCGAGCTGTTCTCTGCTGGCTGTGCATGATACAGATGCTCTGTAAAATGGAGCTAGCTGGGTAATACATATATCAAGGTTGTCTGTAAATTCCATAAAATTTTCTGGAGAACATATTAATTTTCCTGATTCATTTAAGTTTTCTCATTTTTAAAAAACATTTATTTTTTTAATGTGTCACTATCGAAACAAATCCTAAGTGTTTCATTAAAAAGAAAATATTCTGAAAATAATCGTTACAGATCAGAGAACACGCCAGCAGATGGTGCTCCATAGTATGTAGTGTTATTTTTGGCTGTGTTAGTACTGAAAAAATCTGTTGCTTTTTTTATGGTAGAGCTGGATTCTTGGTAGAAGTGTCCCATTACCTCCCTGAATGCAAAGATGATAAAAACTAGATTTACAAATGTGTTTATGATATACAGCTCCCAAAGACTTAATTTAAATGCAAAATGCAGGCACTGAAGATGGAGCTCACTTGCTCCAATATTTCAAATATCTTTTGGGATAGGGCAGTGTTTTCTAATAGAGTTGAATAACTTGAGTTAGTCATGCCCTGATTCTGTGAGTAAGTCTGGGACATAAAAACATAGTAATAGAAATAGCATTTATTTATGTATTTTAAAAATAAATAGCTGAGAGAGTGTTGGATATTTGCAGTGCAACCATGAGGGTTGAACTAACTCTTGGCTTTTCTACATTTAACAAACAGAAAGAAAACTGCAAACTTGTAATTCAAAATTGTGATATTTCACAGCTTTAGTATTCATACAGAGCGAGAAAGGAGCATAAATTACCAGCCAGGATGTGGAAAGATTGTCTTGTGTGTCAATTAAAAGCAGTTCCAGATCACCAGAGGAGAGCTGTTCTCTCCTGTTTCCCTGCCAACAGGACACCTGTGAAAACACTTGCAAAGCAGGGCTTTTCTCCACACAGGGGTGTCTCGCGTGTAAAGGTATCTTCAGCTTAATTGAGTTTTATACATTTCCTTTAATCTTAGGTGCTTAAGGGAGCTGTAGTCTAGTTGACAGCCCCAAAACAGAGATGTTCCTAAGCTGCAAGATTCTGATCTGAAATAGGATCAAGTTTTAAATCCAACACAGTTCAAGCAATCTGCATTACAGATTGTAAGAGAAAAAAAGACTTTTTCTTTGGAACTTCGTAGTGATAGCTTCAAAATTCAGATACAGATTAACTTTTTCTGTTATAATTTGAGAGTATTTGGTTCTCTCATTCTCACTTTAAGGTTGAGTATTTTGGTCAGATGACAATAGGCGAGACAGACAAAACTTAAGGGAAATCAAAGTCTTTCCCAGTCATCACATGTTGCAATAGCATATTCAAATTTTTATCTTCAATATATGATTTTTAAAAGGGGTTATTGAATCCTTTCTCAGTCCATTAGTTTACTTATGTATATGGTCAGTTATGAAGCTCACACTGTTATTAAAAGTAAAAATGCTGATGGCTTGGACCTATGAGAAGTTGAGGAGTCCTTAATTTCTATTCAGTTCTATGAAACTGTCCTTAAAGGATGATAAAGCTGTCCATAAAAGGATGATATCAGACASTTTCAAAAACAATAGAAGTATGAATCTTTCTATAAAAACTCATTAAAAAAATAAGGATTCACCTTCACCTCCCACTCCCYTGCAAAAAATGACCCCACCCCAGAGCAACTTTGTCCAACTGTGATTCCACAAGATGATTAGTTTGGTTTGTGACACCTGTGTCTGGATCAAAATGCTGTATTTGTATGATAAAAAGTCATTTACTGAGGTAATACAAAGTTACTTGCATTGTTCAAAGCGATTAAAATGATTCTTTTTTTCCTGAAAATGAAAAATGTTATCTTTACCAAGYTTATTTTGGATCAAGCCTAATCTGTCATATGTCTCAAAGTCTCTGTTGGATCAGAAATTATTTACTGTGTCTAATACGATAAAAATACACTTATATGTTAACACCCGATCTGTATCAATCTCTTAATGATTGGTGAATTTGGAAGTGAAAATTTCCACTCTTTTACTGCCTCTTGARCTACATGTTCTTTCATGGACAGATGTTCTCTTCTGAATGCAACAGCATCTGCTGAAGGCATTATTGCCTACTCCCTGCCGGGTGTGTTCCTTGACCGGCTTGAAATTCCCACCTCCCACAGTTACACTTAGTTAAAAGGATCCTGTAATGCTCCCTGATCCAGGTCAGGCAAAATAAGCCAAGWTAATTCAAACCACTATATGAACTCTGTAAATTAGCTCAGCTTTCTTATCCAGAAGCTGATTATGCATCATTCACACAGACTGTTCTACAAGGGTGGTAACCTCCAGCAAACAAGTTGCTAACAGCTGGGGAGTGGAGAAGGAGAAATCTTCGACTAGCACATCTGTTCAGAGCAAAGGTCTCTCTGCAGCCTTCATCTTTAATTGAAAGACTTAGTACCTCATTAAAAACATGTTTTAAGTGAGCTAAAAATTGAATAAGTCTGAAATGAGGTAGTAGAGAAATTACTGCAATGTTKGTATCATGATGTTCTTGAAAGACAGGCTTTTTATTGCTCTTCTGGCATACTGTAGGGAAGTGTGAGGAAAAGCTCATACGATGCCACTTAAGACAGAGAATTTGAACCAAAAAAACATGAACACCTGCTAGACAAAGGTGTGGTGCAAGAGTGCAATATGAAATCCAGCACTGATGTCTATCTCTGTAGTTCTCAGGATGTTCAATGCTTCAGAGTAGTACTCTAGACAACATGTAGGTAGAGTGAACTGATGGAAAATATCTGAAAGCTAGCTAAAATCTTAAACTTGTGTGGAGAAGCTGAAGAGCTAGTGAGGTCCAGCGTACAGTGTATTAATCTACAAGATACTTGCTAGAACAGTCTTGGAGCGGAAGCCTATAGACCCCTAATTCCTGCCCCTTGACTATGTGTTTGGAAAGAGCTTTTTTGTCGCTCCTGTTTACGTTTTGTGATTGGGTAGAAGCATAAAATTTATTGGGTCAGAAATGACCATGAGAGCTCAATGGTTAAACTGCTAGAGGAAACGGATGTCAATTTATATCCCTAAGCATTTTTTTTTCCTGTATTAAGTATTTTATTTTAATTCATTTTTATTTTTGATGACATATATCATGGTGCTTATTGTACTTACATGTCTTGAACATCATCAGACTGAGGAGGGCAAACACTCCGTCTGCCTCATCTCTGTGACTGCTTCATTCACTAGGCTGTTAAGAGAAGATATGGGCCTCTTCTAGCAACWTTGTGCAAGAAAGTAGCTAATAAATTTTGGCTTGAGCAAGTTTGGATATAAGAAATGTTTTCACAGCATCCTGCTAGACTGGTGCTCTCAAAGACCTTAAAAATGCTCAATTTTCTCTGAAGGCTTCTCTTGAGAGTTAGGCCCCTAGTTACTCACCCTAAAGCCCTGCTGGCCAGGCTTGTGTCAACCTTGAACCAAACAGACCATGGCTGTTTAGCAGACCTTTGTCTATGACCCGAAGCTGTGATGGCTCCAACACCATGACTGCCAGTATGTCTAATAGTTTCATATAATATAATAGTTTTATCAGACCTGGCTCTTATTAAGGTGCCCACTAACAAGAGACCTTTGTATCCTTTCGTACAATATTCGAGTCTTTCTTCTCTCTTGCACTAGATGCAGATGGTGCACATGCCATTGATGAGTGAGGACTGTGACTGACTGGGATGGGGCGCAGACCCCCCCACAAGTGTGCTGTACCTGTGCAATAGCTCCGGGGGTTTTACTGATCACCTCCAAGCTCACAGAGCCTGGGGCAAAGCAAGTCAGTGAGCAAACAAGTCAGTGTGATGGAGAGAAACAAGGTCTTTCTGAAGCTAATGGTTACCCCTTTATGTATTTTATAGTGTGAAACTACTGTGCAGTCCCTTTTACTGGTTTTATCTTTCTAATCGACAGTGTATACTGCTCTTGTTTCATACGAAATTTTTCGCTTAAACTTCTTTTATGATGAATGAGTGCATATGAGCACATAGAATTTGTTGTAAAAATTTCTGCCGAGATGACCACTGATTAATATTAGGTCTGCCATCGAGTATACTTATGTCGTATTTTATTGGATGTAGTCTAAGAATCTAGCTTTTAATTGTATTTTTTATCATTATGTTGATGTTGGAGTCAGCAGGGGCCAAMTGCTACAGCTTCAAGGCAAACCAAGTCCTGAATTTGAACTGAGGATTTGTAAATGTGGCTTGAATATTTAAGTTTTACCAATCAGCTTGGAATACACTGCTCTTTTTATGACCTRTATTTTAATGGCTTGCTCCCTACTGTTGTTTCTATCTCATTTATGCTACATTTTCCCATCTACGAGCTAGATATATCCACTCCAAATCCTGGATATTAATCCTGATTAAGCAAAGCCATATGCCAGAAAGGAGTTTGTTGCCAGGTTTTTGCTAGTTCTATGGCATTTGAACTGAGCAAAATTAAGAAAGTAGTGCAAGTATCTTGTCCCATAGATGGATTTTTCTGATAAATATATTTCCTCTCCTTCTCCTTTTCTACCCCTTCCCTTATTTTTTTCACTTCCTCCTCGAGCTCCCTGCTGTTTTATTTATATTTATTTGTTTATTTTAAAGTTGGATGTTTTTTGTATCTATACTGTCTCTGCTTTCTTAAGAAAAATTAAGACACTTTAACTAAACATTCGTATTTGATTGTCAAAGGATTTCAAAGCTAGGGAAAAATCCAATGTACCTATAAAATATATCACTGTAAATACATAAGTAGTAGAAATGTACAAGTACAGATGACACTGATAAACTATTGCAGAATAAACATGAAAAATGTGGTAGAGTGCAGATAAATAATAGGAATGGTACCATATTTCAATTATTAATAGATTATTGCTATCAATAAATATGGCTATCAATCTCACATGCTTACTATAGATTACATCCATTAGGTCTTTTTTTCCTCAGGAACATAAATCTGTATAGTCTGAGCACATACCAGTTTTAAAATCCATAAATATATTATGTAGTAGATCTCTTTGAGGAGCTAATGCTTTGTTCAATATTCTGTTAAAATGTCTTAAATGAAGCAAATGGGCTTATAGAGTCTTATTTATGGAGGCTCAAGACAGCAAAACAGAAAACGTGAAAGTAAAAATGCTTGCAATCTGAGAGACCAGGAGCACCGTGTTCTTCCAGCACAATTGAGCAAATTGAATCTGAACTATTGGATATTTTGTCTCATTGCTTTTTGGGGGTAACCCAGAGGAATTTCAGAAGCATTTCCAAAAAAGAAAGAAAGAAAAGGTGACTTGAAGGAAAAAAATGTCAAACTATCTCAAACCAATTTATTTTCCTTTTTCTTTTTGCCTTTTTTTCCTGATATTTTACTCTACTGTGTAGAGATAGGTGGTGTAAAAGGACCGTATAAAAGGACTCCTCTCTATGGTCAGATCATAAATTGATAAATAGACAGAATGGAGATCTGTTACCACTGTAAATGCTGAATGTGCATGTGTGTCGTGTAGCAATAGCAGACTACACCATTTCTGGTGGAAATTCCCAAAGATAAATGRTCCCCGTGACACAGTGGTAGGGTCTTGGAAATAAGTCATGTAGGATCTGAGATATGGGCTGTCCAGAGAACAGTCCTCTTTCTTCCCCTGGGTCTGTACAATATAGGCTTTTTGGATTGCTTTCACATGTAATAGATTAGAAGTTCAGTATGTATTTTTTTATTAGCATGTGACAATATTAAAGAAATTGTTTCAGAATTTCCAGGTAGCAGATGGTCCAAATGAAAAACTCTTACTAAAAGGCCTGCAGCAGTTGCATGGGATTTTGTTGGCAGCTTACATTGCTATGTGTCTCCTTGATGCCCTTTCTGTGCTCTGCAAATGCAACCGTTTGTGTTGSTAAACAAAAAATGCCAGCTAAAATAGTTGATTAGTTAGTTAGTTTGTTTATTTTCCCTCAGGTTGATTTTCTAAGCAAGTCTGCATTTCAGTTGTGGAAACTAACATAACTTTTGCACCTCTGATCATGCTGTATTGGCTCTAAGGGAAAATTTTCAGGTCCTTTTTGCCATATTAGTCATCATCCTCAAATATAGAAAAATTATGAAAAATAACATCATTTATAAGAAGCAAATGATTTAATTCTATTGTTTAAGTAACATTAAATATACACAGATTAGTGTCTGTGTGTGTGGCAGGGKAGTAGAAGGAGGGAGAAAAGACATTCCTGGTTAGACAGTCCTGTCCTCATTCACTCAAGTATAAAATTTCCTTCAGTCATTTTATATTCTGTGAGYGTGGTGTAAATTTTTAGATACTACTGAACGCAGCTACTGTGACTGTAGATGTATCTGACTGGAAAATTGCCCAATGGGCTGTTGCAGGCTCATAATTGACCATTTAACCCCTGGATCATATCTCAGCTGTGATAAAACCTTGAGGATGCTGGATTCCTTCAGGAACTTGCATGGCTCTTATAAATCCATGAAATGGAAACTATTATTGCAATGTAGGACTACTACTGTTCTGATTTTTTTTTTTGAGACTATCACATTGCTTATTCCTTCCCATTCACACCCCACCTCTAAACCATGAACACAAATCAGCTGTGGAATGCCTATATGACGTTAAAGAATATCTTTAAAAGAGCATCAGTAGAAGACAGAATAGAGATTCCTATATTCAGTAAATCAGTGTGATAGTATATCACTGAAGTTAATGGGAATGTAGATATTTATTGAATTGGTTCAGAAGCAAAATTAATTCTGAGTTTATTCACATTTATTCAGGTTTAAAGACCTTTGGAGTAATCCAAACAATAATAACTGCAAATGCTGCAGGTGCTGCAAGTGTGTTTATTAGATGCTCAATATGAGCAAAAATTTAAATATATATACTAACATAAAAAATCCATAGCACCTGTTAATATGCAAATGATTTAAGTGAAAGTCAGTACATACCAAATAAACACCAAACATCCGAATAATAATTCTTATGGTCAATGAAAATATGATTCAGCTGAAATCAGTGGGAATACTCCTATTTCAATAAAATCAAAATTTAACCAAATTAATGTATTTTAAATATCTGGCAAAAAAAAAGCCTCAATTTCTTGCATATTTTCTCTATTTCTCTTCTAAAATAATTAAACCTGTAGACTCTGAGTCTTTAGCATCTATAAAGTCTGAAGATAAAGTAATAAATCTTTTTTAGGGATTTAGGAATTTGAGTGCCTATGTTTGAAAACTTAGCTTAAATAAATTCATGCTAGAAGATGTCTATAAAAATGCCACTGTATTTTCAGAAATAATTCTRCCAAGCTTAGCTCAGATGCAACTATTGATGAGGAGCAGGGTCCTAATTCACAAATTGGTCATTTGCCAGAATTCTTCCATAGAACTGGATAACTGGATGAAACAATTCTCTCAGACTACAATGCTCCAAAGGGAACGGGATGCGCCCCCCTATTATTATACATTAATAGGATACTAACTACTTGTAAAACATATCTTTTCTTTATTTTTATTTTTATTTTTTTTTTTTTTGTTCTAGAGACAGATACTTATTTGCCACAGGAGAAAATGTTGCAGCCACAACCTCTTGCAGAGTTTTTGTAGAGATACAGAGATAGAAAAAAGGCAATTATCAGTCAGCAGTGCCCTCGTGGCCAGGAGCGCTGCCAGCAGGTGAAGGGAGGGGATCCTGCCCCTCTGCTCAGCTCTGGGGGGGAGGCACCTGCAGTACTGTGTGCAGTTCTGGGCTGCCCAGGACAAGAGGGACGTGGAGCTTCTYGAGAGGGTCCATCAGAGAGCGACAAAGATGATTAAAGGACTGGAGCATCTCTCGTGTGAGGAGAGGCTGCGTGAACTGGGTCTGTTCAGCTTGGAGAAGAGAAGGCTGAGAGGGGATCTGATTAACATGTATAAGTACATGAAGGGAGAATGTAAGGAGGAARGGGCCAAGCTCTTCTCAGTGGTGGCCAGCGCCAGGACAAGGAGCAATGGGTGTAAGTTGAAACACAGGCAGTTCCAYCTCCAGGTGAGGAAGAACTTCTTTACAGTGAGRGTGACAGAGCAGTGGAACAGGCTGCCCAGGGAGGTTGTGGATTCTCCTTCTCTGGAGGTCTTCAAAACCCGCCTGGATGCCACCCTGTGTCACATGCTGTAGGTGTGCCTGCTGGAGCAAGAAGGTTGGACTAAATGATCTCTAGAGGTCCCTTCCAACCTTTAAGATTCTGTGATTCTKTGAAATACGTTCAAGATCATCAAAACTGTGTATTGATGWAGTCCAAGTAAATTTCTAGAACATGCCAACTATTTTGACCATGGTATATTTTGACAGTTGTACTTGAGCTGTGCAAAAATCTAATGATGGTCCTTTACACAGATACAGAGATTTATCTGTGAGAAGCAAAATGTCTTTTTTGGTGAGGAAAGCTATGTCAGTAATGGTCCCCCAAACCTACAGAAGTGGTAGATCACAGGTAGTGTTATTGCATCTCTAGATGCAATGGAGAGACAGAGTGTTAGGCCCTTGAGACAGCAATGCCCGACGTGCGTGCCTTTGCAGTCAGCACGGTCTGATCTAACTGAWCTAACTCTATCTGCCTCCAGCATTGCCAGTCCTGCATCTTTGTTATARCTGGCAAAAGGAGGCAGAACAAGGAACTTGTCCCACCAAAAAGCCACCACTGAAGAATGTCTAACTTCCTTGATCTTGCTACTGTATGAGAGTGCAAATACTCCTGGAGAGAGCAAACTCCACTTGTCYTGGTAAACTCTGGTAAGAGTGCTGGTCCTTAGCTATTTAAGCTGAATTTATTTGGTGCTGCTGAAGTCCTGCTCTCATACTTAGAGATTAACCTCCACCCTAAGCCAGCACTGTCACTCTCTGGGTCGCCCATGACCCAAGGATAGGTGGAGTTACAAGAATTACCTTTCTTTATCAGTTATGGCCATGGTTGAAATTAAACACTAAAGAATCTTTGAAAGGTTAATTTTGACTACCTTGCACTCAGGAAAGATGAAGAACAAATTAATGCAGATCAAGTAGGTTGTTTCTTGAATAAGGACAAAAGACCAAATGCTTCCTACGTGAAACTACGTGGACTGTAGAGAAACTGTTCTTTCTGTAAGCAGCTGGCATCAGTTGCTAAAGTGGGAGAGAAGCTGTAATGAGAAAGGCAGGATAGTGAAGGTCTCTAGATAAGGTAGTTTTGGACTGCAATGATGTTATTCTCAGAAGCAGGCAAAACCTAAAGGAGAATGAAAATGTGAGCAAATTGTCATGCTTTCTGTGGATGTTTTTTTCTCTACTCCTGTCCGATTATGGGAACTCAAAAGTTCTGTCGTTATGAACAATTGTTTAGCCTTTGAAATGGATACCATTTCAGAAATTTCATATTTTTCTCATGGCTGTTGACATACTGCCACCCAAAAAAATTGTCCCTGACACTCTGCTTTCAATGCTTCAAAGGGTGGAAATATTCCTAACTGCGTTGTGACTTCTGTGAGCGAACACTTGGAGGAACTCCAATGAAGCTAGTGAAATTTTCGTGAGGTAGAATTGTGAGAGAGGAATATCAAGCCTTTATTGTGTAGAAATGCTGACAGTCTGCCATCCCAAGGTGGAGATAAATTACACTTGTATCTTTGCAGATATCGTGTTACATTCCATAATATCAGCTTAATTCGATCTAAGAAAGCTAACAGGATATGAATAGCCTGTAATCTGTAAAGCAAAAGCTTAACAGAGTGCTTTRGAAATCATGTATGACAAAATACTCTTCTCCATTAGGAAGTTAATATGCAGTATAGCAGGTGTAGCTATTTAGAACTGCCTGAGTAGAATGTGGCAAACTCTATTATTCTATAGGTGTCAAAAGAGTTCAAAATTTGCTTATGACATGTTATGAATTGCGAGAACTAAATTAATTATCAATAGATGAAAATGGCTAAAATTTAGAGCCTGTGTTTACAGTAGTTGTTCAATGCAAGATCAGTTTATAATTGAGAAATGTGATATCTGTGTAAAAGTCTCTTTCCATTTTTTAGGAAAACAAGTTTTCAGATCTGATCATGTGTTGATCTGACTAAAGAGCCTTTATTCAGCAAAGTACTTTCTATGTGTTAACTGTTATTACATTGAAGTTAATGGATTTTTAATGGATGCTGAAGTGCTTTCCTGAATCAGGGCCAAAATGTCCTACATGTTTTTATTTTAGAAGAGGAAATCCTTCTTACACCTTCAATAAAAAAGGGATGCACAAAGTCTTGTACATAAAGCATTCTAACATATCTTTTTTTGATTTTAATCTATTGCAATATGCAAAGGAAAAACAATGCTCAAATTTTGGTAGGTAAGAGCTCCAATTTTTAAATGGGGCAAGCTGAGGCAATTATTGTAGTTCTTCATCTGAACCATTACAGTTTGCACACCAGAAAGGAAAAACAACACTGCTCCTATTGAAGTACTTCATTCTTACTACTATTATTATCTAGTAAGCAGACTAATTTTCAGTGCTTCAGGAGTTGCTTTCTGAAATATGCGTTCACTTCTGCAGATATGGTGGAAAAAAGAAAATTTCATAACCATCATAGTACAGACTTTGCAGTCCATGAAACAGAGCTGTAAAAGCTGCTTATGCTCGGTGATTATATGCTATTTCTTTGATTTGCATAGCAAAATCTTGAGCTCAGTTTCCATCCTGCAGTATTGTACATCATAGCAGTGGAGAAAGCAGAAGATCTAATCTGTAAACTAATTGAATGAGTAGTGATTCTGATGTCTTCACCCCTTGCTATCAATGCAGTAGCTTTTGAAAAGGCAAAATTAACCTGCAGTATCCTTATTATATCTGCTTAGCAAAGATGGACTTCAGTCAGAACTGAACTAAGTGCATTAAATGTTATCAGATGAGAATGAAGCAGCACCCCTAATCTTCTCTACAGAGGATGTTCTGCCTAAACCATCTGTTTTCCTCTCCCTRTGCAAAGAAAGCTTTTATGATACTGCATCACCTCTTCTCTAGCTTAAGGTGGATGGGCTTGGTCTCTTCACCTGGTGGGGAAGGATATAAATTCATATATGTGGTGATGGAGATCACTGGAAATCTGGGAGGCAGTGAAGGCCGTTAGAGAAGAACTTTGCAGATATACTGCATGCAATACCATGTCACTTAGGAAAAAAAAAAAAGGTTTGTGCAGAATTTCTTTAATTGGAGGTAATTTATTAATGTAATAATGCCATTCACTAAACCCCGATCCCCAAATGTACCCAACATCTCAAGGAGAAATAACTTTCCTTCAATTGAAATTCATSTAGTACCACAAGTGTACAGTTGTTATGATTTCATTATTCTTTCAGATAAATAATGCAAGCTTTTCAACAAAGCATTTTCTTTAATAACTACATTGGAAACTGAACCTCATACACCAATAACAGTGACAGTCCACTTAATTTTTACTAATTTAGAATAAACAGCAAAAAAAAATGGAGATCAAAATATTTTAAAGAAAATATAGAAACTTAATATTTTAAATAAAAAAGTATTTTGGCACTGTCATAATCTGTAAAACCATCTGAACAGACTCAGCATATCACTGATAGGAAATAAATTACCAAAAATATAAAATTATTGAAAAATAATGAAATTGGAGTCATTACTCTGCTATCAAATCAGAATATATCTAATACATGTAGGTTATTTTTAAATGTAATTTCACACACTGTGAAATTATTTAAGGACCAGATAGAGTTTAAATCAAACTCCCCTTYGCAGGGAGCAACTTTGCCCCAGAGCAGTCAAAGGCAAAACAGCTGTAGGTTTCTCTGGCTTGCACTGTTATTTTACCACTTAGTGTAAAAAGTTGGCGAGTTTGATTGATACAGGCTACAATCTTGATTGGATCTGGTGCTGGTCCAGTAAAGTCATTGGATCACTCTGATTTACTCCAGTTGGGGATCCAATGTGTACATGTCTGTTAAAGCAGAGAAGTTTGTCTGGTCTGCAATATCCCAAGGTGAATGTTAGTGAATTATTTACTGGTATTTACCATCTTCTCTTCCAGATTTTGAAATCTTTTAATCAGAAAAGAAAATTAAAATTCTTATGGAGATAGGAAAAGCTAATACTTGCCTACAGTAAATCTTGTCCTCTTAACTGACTGTACATTAAAATATTGTTACCWGTTATGGATTCCTTTACATATTTTGCTTTAACATTTCTAACAGTAGCCTTTGCTGACCTCGGCTAGACAAGGTGGGTGTAGGGACTTCTACTGCATTAGTGTGCAAATTGCAGAGGAGCTATTTCCTTSCATTGAGTAGAGAAAGCATTTAAATCCCCCCCCTTTTGGGGGAGAGCAACTAAGTAGTAGAAAAATTCTAACATTTGAGTACGAAACCGCTTTTCACGAGTTTTCTGCAATGTTATTATTAATGTATAGAAACAGATATGAGAAAAAGCTGAGAAGAGCAGATTTCATTCATGCGCTTTAAACAGCACTTCTCTAGACAAAAATTCTTCCTCTACTAGCATCCTATTTCATTTCTCTGCATTTCTGTTGTTCCTTGCTTTTGGTCTGCATGCATATTTGTGTCTGTATAACCTGAGTCTGTTTGCTCAAGATACCTTGAGCCTCTGAGTTTTGTGAATGTTTGATTTACAAATGCAAATAGGCAAATTTCCCCAGAATGTCTTTTYAGAGCTTTCCAACAAAAATATATTGCAGCAGTGACACTTCTGTGTAAATATTTTGATGATGCATTGCAAAAGTGGTCAAAGAAAAAAGTACTTTCTAGAAAAGGAGGTCTGAGGTCTGAGCTATTCCTAAAGAAATCCAGTTCTCAGAGATGCTTTGCTCTCATCCTTTGCTTCCCTCAGAGATAAACATTAGCAGTCCGTTCTAGGCGGGGATGGCAGGAAGACCATCTTCCAAAACCTGTAGGAAAAGCTGTCCTTGGAAGGTGAGTATCTCAGCTGCAGGCTCTGGAAGAAAGGAAAAAGGTTTAAATTCTGTGATGCTCTACGARGTATCTGTAGGAGACAAAGATGAAGATAAGAGCTTCAGACAGTTTTTAAAACAGGGCTTTAGGTTGTCTCAGTACCGGACATTAGCAATTATTGAGAAACAAAA